GACAGGTAGATTTTTATTACACGGGGACACCTTATTTCTAACATATTCCGAAATTTCTCACGTCACACAAATCAATGACCCATTATTAAAAAGGCAATTTTATGGAGAATTCGGTTACCTATATGACTGTTCATTGCATTACTTTTGTGTTAAAACTTTCACGTATTTTAAAGTATTATACTTCATTTGAAATCTAATTTAATTAGTAATTTAATGTGAATCATAAATTTACCCTTTTAGTTAATTACAATTAGAGTTAAATTGATTTAATTGTAACATTATTGGTAGCATTCATATGCGCATTTTAGTTATGTTTCATTAAATTATGTTTTGTTCTGTTAAGCAATAAATTACTAATAAAATTAGCTTTCCAATTAAGTGTCACGCTTTACAATACGTAACAGTTTTTATACTGCTAGAGGTTAAAATCGGAAGTACCCCAAGAATAAGTCATATAACTAAAATGCCCATAAAGTTACTTTTTTAATGATGTGTCATACTTTGTACTTTCCCTATTTAAATTACAATGGTTAGTGTGATAGAGGGGCGAGAATGATGTATGGCATTAAAAAATATGATGGAAAGGCGTTCCCTTGGAATAAAAATCTGTCTCAGTTAATTTTTGATATTGTCTTTTAATAGAAGATATTACCAATAGGCAGTTTTTAAACTGACCCCCTCTATATTATCCATAAATTCTAAAAATAACATTTTCATAAAGAGAAAGGAATGTTAAAGGTACCTCTGTAGCTTACTTCAATTTTTAATGTCAGGATCTTACCTTATATATTCCTTAGACAAAAACGAACGTTTGTGAAATAAAAAATCTGATGTGTCCAACACATGACTTTCCTATCTAGTTAACCTATTGCAGCATCTCTAAAAATGTTTAGAGGATAAACTAAATATATACATTTTCCACATACATCTACCTCGAAACATTTTTCTATAGATATTCATTGAAAACGAAAATATTGAAAAATTTAAATTTAGCACTTTTCCTCCAATTTTTCCATTACGGTCCATTTTAGAAAAGTCATTTAAAAACAAAAATTATAGAGATCGATATCGCAAACAACTTTTAGTTTAACAATTTTCTTAAAAATCAGAATTTTGCACATTTTGTCAAATTTCTCGAATACGGACCATTTCAGGAAAATTTGACATATTATAGATAATAATATTAGAAGTAACTTTTATTTGAAGAATTTTCTTCTCCAAACGTAAATAACAGATATATTCCATAAAATATAAAAATGACCACCTATAAAGTACCCCCCCAGATGTTCCGACTCTGCCCAAAATCTAATCAGCTCATTGGACGCTGAAACAAAGCTAAAGTTTAAAATTTGGTGTTTTTCTGTGTATCGGTTCATGAGTTATGCGTTATACAGAGACACACACACAGACACACACACACACACACACACACAGACACACACACACAGACACACACACACACACACACACACACACACACACACACACACACACACACACACACACACACACACACACACACACACACACACACACACAGACACACACACACACACACACAGACACACACACACACACAGACACACACACACACAGACACACACACACACACACACACACACACACACACACACACACACACACACACACACACACACACACACACACACACACACACACACACACACACACACACACACACACACACACACACACACACACACACACACACACACACACACACACACACACACACACACACACACACACACACACACACACACACACACACACACACACACACACACACACACACACACACACACACACACACACACACACACACACACACACACACACACACACACACACACACACACACACACACACACACACACACACACACACACACACACACACACACACACACACACACACACACACACACACACACACACACACACACACACAGACATCATCGCGAAAATAGTCAAAACGGATTCAGGGGACATCAAAACGTAAAAATCCGTCGAAAACTCGAGGTCGAAAAAAATCATGATTCCTATACTTTCCTTATATCTGTATACAGATAGGAAAGTAAAAACAGTTTGATTAGCGTCTGTTTAAGGTAGCCTTATATTTAAAAAAAACCTTTCCTACCTTAAGAAAGAAAGGAGCATTTTTTTAAATAATAATACTATTTTAAGGGCGATTAAAGGGAGGTAAAAGTAAAGGAACCTTTGAAGGTGTGTTTCAGAAATTGACCCTATGTCTCAAACCCCTTGGTATTTACATCAAGAAGGTTGCTCTGATGATAATGATAGGCCTCTGTACTATTGTAATAGAACTTAGTTAAATATATGGTGAGGGGAGATGTCGCTTTTGACGGGAGGAGCTCGATTCGCTCCATAGAACAAATAGAAGAGCCAAAAGTGGCAGATACGATTTATCTATACTGACAATTCTAAAACAAAACAATGCTCAGGATGTGGAATATACTTCAAATCATTAAAGTTAACATAAATAAGTTGCTGCGAGCAATAGTGCTAGTGTAGTTTTTTAAACCGAACTCACGGGGATTCTTACAGCAGCAAAAGAAATAACCAGAAACAATATCACTGAAAGGAACATGCTCATCTGTATAGATAGTAAAAACATCACTCACCCTGGACAGACCACGAATTTACTTAGTGTTAGTATAAGAATATCACGAAGCTTTGGCAGAAGTATTCATCAAGAATGTGATCACCTTTAGATGGATCAGAGGTCACGGCACTTTGAAGGGTTCCATTTTACTAATTTACTAGCCAAGAAGGCAGCCGACCAAATACTTTTTGGACCCGGCTGTTTCATATCTATAGCAGGGGTTCCCAAAGTGGGACTTTTTTTACATAAAATAGATACAAATTTAATTTTTTTTTTAGTTCTTCATACACTTGTTTCTGCTTTACTAGTTTTTACACTAACAGGAAGATAATTTGGAACCACCTCATTTATTCATCTCTCCACGTTCATCTTTATTTGGAAATTAAAATGAACTAAAACTTAAAAGAACTAAAATTCTGATAAAATCAAATTTAGAAGTTCAAATAACTAGGTATTTTATAAACGAGCTGAAAACTCAATTTAGTCAACTGCCAACATGCGCCAAATTACACCATCTCTCATTCCGTCCTAAACATGATTATTGTAAAATTTTATAATACTAGTAGGCTTGTGTCAAATAATATCATTTATTTTATATACAGTATTTTAAGCTAAATTACTTTTGTTTATAAGTGTAAGTTTCTAATGGTATGAAAATAAGTATTTCAGAATGCCGTTTCAATCTAGCAATGAAGAATATGCAGACATTATTTTTGTGTTCGGTTTTTGTAACGGAAACAGTAGAACAGCAGTAAAAGAGTATCGCAGACGCTTTCCTAATCGCCATTTACCAAATTCTAAGACATTTTCGCAGGTTTTAGAATTTAGTAGGCAACATGGAAAGTTTCCAACTACAGTTAAACATGAACATGCTCAGAGAAATAATCTTCAACAAGAAGAGGAGATACTACGGATAGCTCTAAATATTTCTTTTATCAGTGTAAGAAGAATTAGTAATGAATTAGCAGTACCGATAACAAGATTATGGAAAACTTTAAAAAAAGAAAATTTGCAACACAAAGACGACGTACCCCGCTTATCATTTTTGTAGATAGACTTTGGCCCACAGAAGGACAATATCGAGAATTTTATTAACTGATAAATCCCAATTTACATGTGATGGGATCAATAATACTAGGAATGGTCATATTTGGGCAACTGAGAATCCTCACACTGTATCACAAAAACATTCCCAATATAGATATGCTATAAATGTATGGTCTGGTATTTATAAAAACCATTTATTAGGCTCTCATGTTTTTAAAGGCAGATTTGAAGCTGAAGTTGTTTTAAATTTCTTTAGAGACATACTGCCAAATTTGTTAAAAGGGATTAATACCACACGAATGTGGTTTCAACACGATGGTGCTGGACCTCATTTTCAAATACTGGTCAGAGACCATTTAAATCATCGTTTCCCAAATGGGTGGATAGGTCGAGGCGGTTCCTTCAATTGGCCACGAAGATCTCCAGATCTTAGACCTCTGGATCATTTTTTATGGGGCTACCTTAAATCAGAGGTGTACAACGAAGAAATGAATACCCGAGCACAGTTATTGGAAAAAATTAATAATGTATGTAACAACATTAGAAATAAACCGGAAATAATTGACAAATCAGTGAAAAACCTGTTAAAACGTTTGCAGAGGCGTATTGACGTTCACGGTTTTCATTTTAAAAATATACTTTAGTTTTAATTAATTATTTGTTTCTGTTAGCTTGCTCTGTTACTTTATCAAAAAAAGTGAGCCCGGTCCTATGTAGATGTTTAATTTTTTATTGAAAAATGCAGTAGTTAAAAATAAATGAAGATTGTACCTAATGTGTGTAGAGTTTTAAAAATACGAAGTAAAATATTTGATTTCAATTTTGAAAATACTTTGTGAAATCAACATAAATATATACTAGTTTTCAATGGTAATATGGGTTTTGCTGGGTTTTCCCCTATTTCTTAGCAAACGCGCCACTATATTCATTTTTAAGTCACCCCAGTGTACACTTTGTAGGTCATCAAACTAGTACAAATTATTTTGGCTTCTGCCTTATACCATACAATTTTGTATGTATTTTTTTCTGTATAATATTGTTGCTGGCATTAATAAATATTAATATTAATATTATTATTATCTTGAAAATAGTTTTTATTATAGCTTTCGCAAATTAGGTAATAAATATAATATAGTAATAGTAAATAATTAAAATTTCTTCATAAAAATAATATTTTTGGTAAATAATGAACAATATAAATCATACAATTTGTTGAAATAAAAGGATGACAACAAAAATCTCATAAATTAATTTTTATTTACGACCATACCTTTTTAACATAATTAACACAAATTATTTGTTTCAGGATGCTCTTATCCTGGCACCTCATATCGCCGAGCCTGCTTATATTGTGGTTGTGTTCTACAGAATCCCTGTGCCCCGCATCCTGCGTTTGCAAGCAATCAGAAAAGGGTCAGAGGAAAGTGTCTTGTTTAAAGGGAGGCATGCGGGACCCTATTCCCCTCATCGACGTCGATCCCGGCATGGAAGTCCTGGAGATATCAGGACTCGCCGATAATCCCAATACGCTGTCAATCAGCCCCGTTTTCCAGCAGTTCAAACACTTGCAGGAGATATCTATCAAGCGATCTAATATCCTTCAGATTGGCATGCACCCCTTTTGGGGGGTGCCCAGCATACGCTTGCTGGATTTGAGCTACAATAATATCAGCGTTGTGTTCGATCATAACTTTCGCGGTTTAGTGAATTTGGTTGAGTTGAATTTGGACCATAACAAAATCGAACGGGTGGCCGTGGGTGCTTTTAAACATCTCACCGAGTTGAGGATGTTAACATTAAGGAACAATAATATTAGTGATTTGGAACCAAGGATATTTTTGAAATTAGTGAAGTTGCATATACTGAAACTTAGTGGGAATAAGTTTGAAGATGAAATTAATCCAGAAGTGTTCAAGGATGTTCCGGTGAGTTTGAGTTTAATTATATTATTACAAAATTAGTAACGTCTAATTAAAAATCTGATGTGTCCAACACATGACTTTCCTATCTAGTTATTATAGGCATTTTCCGGTTATTTTGTACAACCTATTGCAGCATCTCTATAAATGTTTAGAAGATAAACTAAATATATACATTTTCCACATACATCTACCTCGAAACATTTTTCTATAGATATTCATTGAAAACGAAAATACAGAAAAATTTAAATTTAGCACTTTTCCATTACGGTCCATTTTAGAAAAATCATATATAAACAAAAATTATAGAAATCGATATCGCAAACAACTTTTAGTTCAACAATTTTCATAAAAATCAGAATTTTGCACATTTTGTCAAATTTCTCGAATACGGACCATTTCAGGAAATTTTGACATAGAACAAAAATTATAGATAATTATATTAGAAGTAACTTTTAATTGAACAATTTTCTTCTCCAAACGTAAATAACAGATATATTCCATAAAATATAAAAATGACCACCTATAAAGTACCCCCCAGATGTTCCGACTCTGTCCAAAATCTAATCAGCTCATTGGACGCTGAAACAAAGCTTAAGTTTAAAATTTGGTGTTTTTTTGTGTATCGGTTCATGAGTTATGCGTTATACAGACACACACACACACACACACACACACACACACACACACACACACACACACACAGACACACACACACAGACACACACACACAGACACACACACACACACACACACACACACACACACACACACACACACACACACACACACACACACACACACACACACAGACAGACAGACAGACATCATCGCGAAAATAGTCAAAACGGATTCAGGGGACCTCAAAACGTAAAAATCCGTCGAAAACTCGAGGTCGAAAAAAATCATGATTTCTATACTTTCCTTATATCTGTATACAGATAGGAAAGTAAAAATGTAAAATTGAAATATAGGGTTACTATAAAAGAATCATCGGGTTTGACAAAGCTATATTTCGGAAAGTACGATGGATACAATAATAAAAGGTATGTCGGTACAGAGCAAACATTACATTTTTAGCGCGTTACAAATGTTCAATGTGGGCTCCTCGAGTCACACGACAGATGTCCAAACGATAGTCCAGTTCAGTCCACACTCTGCAATGTATCGCGGTCGATACTGTTGACAGCAGCAGTAATGCGTCTTCTGAGCTCCGCCAGTGTTGCAGGTAGAGGTGGTACGAACACCGTGTCTTTAATGTACCCCCAAAAATAAAAATCGCACGGTGTAAGATCAGGAGAGTTGGGAGGCCACGGAAACATTGCCAAATCGTGTTCCGCATAACGGCCTTTCCAACGATGAGGGAGTTCCTCGTTTAGATACCCACGCACGTCATTATGCCAGTGAGGTGAAGCGCCATCTTGTTGGTATATAAAGTTGTTGGCAGTTGCGGCATTAACCACAGTTGCAACTCATCGAGGTACGAAATACCGGTCACAGTGTTTTCATTAAAGAAAAACGGTCAATACACTTTTGTGCTGGATACGGCACAAAAAACATTCAATTTTGGAGAATCTCTTTCATGTTGGACAGTTGCATGAGGATTTTTGGTGCCCCATATCCGAATATTGTGACGGTTCACCTTGCCACTTAAATAAAATGTCGCTTTGTTGCTGAACACCAGACGGTTAGCGAATCCGTCACCCTCCATGGCTTCCTGCATGTTATTACAGAACTGTGTTCGCTTGACACAGTCATTTGGTCGTAACTTTTGCAACAGATGTATATGGTACGGTTTGAATCGCAATCATTTCCGCAAAACTTTCCACACAGTTTGCTGCGGCATACCAAGTGCACGGCCTGCTTGACTAGTGGATTGTTGTGGCGACTGCACAAAACATTGTCTAACCGGATCCACTGTTGCGTCGGATACTCGTGGTCGTCCGGTGCTTTTACGTTTCTCAAGTACACCTGTAGTCTTGAAGTTTCGATACCATCGTAGAATGCTCTGATGATCTGGAGGAGCAATTTCGTATTCCCGTCGGAATGCACGTTGCACTGTCACAACCGATAAACATCGCGCGTATTCTAACACACAGAATGCTTTCTGCTGTATAGTCGCCATTTTCATTACTGCTGACGTGACGTGGCTTTCGCATGACCAGCTGCCTCCGCACGCGCGCGTTGTAAACGTAAAGGTTACCGATGCCTATAGACATGTCATTTATTATTGTATCTATCATACTTTCCGAATTATAGCTTTGTCAAACCCGATGATTCTTTTATAGTAGCCCTGTACTTTTAAAGTAGGCCGTGGCAAAAAGAGAAAGAGATGTATATAGTAAACATAAAACAGGGAATAACCTTTAAGTTTATGATGATATGTGGGTTTTTCCGGAATTTCCTCACCGATAAGTCAAATGGTACTATTAATCATCTTTAAGTCGCCTCAAAGCACCACGGCAAATAATAATAATAATAATAATAATAATAATATCTGTCCTCAGCTGTTGGGGATAAAATTTACTCGTATGGGGGTGAATTAGGAAGAATATTAATATTATTAAAATTATACGCTTCCCTATATTTTGTATGGACTAACCACATAAATTATAGTTCTCTATTATAACTTATTTTCAAAATATTCGCAAACCATCTAGTTCAAACTAGAATTTACAAAAATAATCATTGATGAATTTTAATAGATTTTAAACAAACTGAAAAATTCCTTCATTTCTGTATTCTGACAAGCAAAATAAACCTTCTTTTTGTTGTTGATGATATCCTCATATATTCGCCATATTTTCCGCCAACATTGAATAGATGTTGTAAATTATTTATGTCGTCAGCAATTTAAACTATGATCCGGGTAGAGGATGTTATATATTATTAATCCAAGCGCCATTTACTTATATGCCTATTTTACATTTTTCCGGAGCTTCCTGAAAATTCTCGCGGAATGTAAATTAATCGGTAGTGAAATATATTTTTGTGCTCTTGTAATTTTATTTTACACCCATCAGTTAAGATAAATTCTTCGCAATTTTATTCAAACAAAAATTATTCTTCTGTCAAAAAAAATATTATTATGAAAGAAAGTGATATTTTTTAATTTTATTTTTACCTAATTGTAACGTAAACTGTATAATATTCTGCTAATGTATTTCTTGCATTTACAATTAAACATAATAGAAAATTGCAAACAAGAGCACCCCGTCTGTACATAACATACTTGCAATCTACTTTGAACATTTAAAATTTTAACAGTATATTACAAAAGAAGGTAGGTAATCTTGTATCTACTAAAATGACAAATTATCAAGCTTGTACTTCCCGTACACTGCGAGCTTAAATCACTTTTTTTTTCATTTCTATCAGTACTTTATGTTGATGGTTTTTTATGACAGGAAACTTTTTCCTGGTAACTCTATTTCTAGTAAAGAGATTCTTTAAATTACCCCAGTTTGAGTACGAATTTTGACTAGTCTAGTTTCTTCATCTCTAGCTGGAACTACCTCTAAAATACGAGCCAAAAGTTAATTGAGCTGACTTAAGATGAGCAGGTGTAAATTGTCTATAACCATATAAAGCACCAAGTACGGCACATTCTCTCTTTAAAAGTTGATTTACACGGTTTTAAAATCTTAAATTAGAATCAAAAATAATGCCTATACTTTAAGCTTTTTTTTTCAGACTCTTGTTTTCTACAACAATATTAACACCATAAGCAGTTTGGACGAAAAATAGAACGTTCAACTTTTAGCATTAAATGATTGTTTAGAATTCCCAGTGTTCCTTATGAAATTATCTATAGTTCGGGATACACTAAGAATGCAATATGGGAGACCAGCACACTATGTTGCCGTCTTTCCGATAGATGTGTATACTTGGTTGCATATATAAAAACCGTTTGTCCTTCTTGATGTCTAATTGGATGGATTTTTGCAGAGAGGAAGCAACCCAAAAATTTGTGATTTTTTAGAATTTCATATAATATTGCATTAAGAATCGTAACCTTTAATGCAAAAAAAGATCCAGACCATATTCTGGTACCTAGCGTTATTTGTTAGCCAATTAACAAACCGACTAAATTGGTTAAGAAAATAACCTGCCTGCAGAAGCAATCCTAGCGGCTTGGCCGCTTTCTGCTAAATAGAGAGTAGAGCTGATGACAGTTCCTTATTTGGTAGTCTGTGAGTGTGAGTCTGAATCTATCTAATCTAAAATACTTTTATATAACATAGTAAATGTTTATCTACATCAACATTTTTATATTAGGCCCTGACGTCTTCCCTTCCTCTTGCTGATGCCCTGAAGGGGTATGGACGTCACATTAACTCCCAATTGCGAAAAACTGCTAGTAATATCTTAGTATTTCCTAATCTTACGATACTATACACCATCGCCAACGGCGATAATTGATTTGCATAATGAGTTTTTTTTGTCTGAAGTTAATTGTAGTTAGTCTTCCTGAAAAAGGCTAAGAAAAAACAGGGTTGCTACTTATGTCATTGTGCTTATATAGTTTGTGTAGTCATGTAAAAGCTTGTAATCTGAACAATTGATAGGTCGTCGAAATAGAGAACAGGAGTCTTGTTCTCTGCCTCGCCGGCCCCTTCACCGTGCAGTCCACCATCCGACCAGTCCTAACAACTAATCGGGTTGAGCTTTTACGTTTAGTTATTCTGTCACAGTCATGGAGTCTGTGTATGACTATGCTTTGATTTGTGTTTTTCAGACTCGTCTGTACAGTATGGGTGCTTTGAGACATTTATGCTTTCTATAAGCACTATTCCCCTTATTTATGTCTTCCCTTACGTTATCTGGAAGACAGTATCTGTAGAAGCTTTCTAAACTCTTCAAAATGTAGTCTTTTATAGTAGGCATGGATGTCTACGTGTATATCATTGAATCTGGCGTAACAGTCATACCCTAAGGCCAACCTCATACACCTGTTTTGTACTATTTGCATCTTTTTGAAGAGATTG